AGGCGCGAGACGTTCAGTTGTTAAGCGAGGGTCGGTTGCTAGCCGCGAGGACTGCCGAGGCAGTCGGTTGTCGGATACGTAGCCTGTACGTTCTGAATAAACCCCATATATAATAATTGTGTTAAGTCAAGGCCATCCCATCCATCCCTCACAATTCAGAAGTGGGATAGAAACCCGACCGACATCCGACCTGTTGAGAGAAGAGCCAAGTGAGACGTGATAGATCGCGAACGGTCATACGGATCGGCGGGACGCGTCGTAAGAGCATAATCGCGAGTTAAGTGAGACGTGATAGATCGCGAACGGTCATACGGATCGACGTGACGCGTCGTAGAAGCGTAACCGCGAGTGTCCTCGAGAGCTGCATATCGGAAGCATACGGCAATCGGTAGAATCTGAGAACCTACGATTGTTCGTTAAGCGAAAACGCGGCAAGAAGAATCTGTTAGGAGGAGAGAAGGCATGTACTGCGGCAGAAGCATTGAACAGTGGGTGGTAGCCGAATTAAGAGCACGGTTAGAAGCACTCAGACTCTCAAAAACCGGAAAGAAAGCAGAACTGTTCGACAGACTCCGTACAGCCGATCCAAACGGTATTACGGAAGCTAGTACATCGAGTGCCGCCATCATGGATAAAGACGGAGAGGAACAAGCGCGGGAAGAAGACAGGCAGGATAACGCGGCCGGCGGAAGCGAGGTAACGCAAGTGGTAAATCCGACTGTCAAGGCAAGCATCCAGGAACGAGAGCTAGAATTAATGCGGCGGGAAAGAGATTTGATTGCCCGGGAACTAGAGGTTCTACGCCTGGAAAACGCGAGCTTGAGAAACGAGACGAGACAACGAGCGACCGGAAGGGAAGTATCCGCCATGATGAGTGAGTCCTCGAGATCGTTGTTACAGCAGTCGGTAACACGATTGGTAGCGACACCGTTATCACAAGAGACGGTCAGGCAGAAACCTAATATTAATACCATCTGCGAATTGTTAACAGAGTTCCAACGATGTTTACTGGCGATGGGAGAAGCAATTCAAGTTATTGTGTGCGACGTATGAATTGGATGATCGAACTGCCAGAATTCTAGTGGGCGCTAGATTGAAAGAGCAGGCACTTAAATGGTTTCACTCAAGACCAGAATATTTAGAGATTTCCGTCGAAGAACTACTTGAGGAGATGCGGAAAATGTTCGACCATAGACCGGCTAAGATCACGCTCAGAAGAAATTTCGAGAAGCGAGTCTGGCAGGCAACTGAGCTATTCAGTGAATATTTTCACGATAAGGTGACGCTAGCAAATCAAGTACCGGTCGAAGAGGAAGAAATCGTCGACTATTTAATTGAAGGCATATCAGATGCTTACCTAAGAAATCAAGCAAAAATTCAACAATTCTCTACAAAGGAAGAATTATTGGCAGCATTCGAACGGGTCCGGATAGATTCAGAAGGAAAAGGACGGCCACACCGAGGCGATCATACTAAAAAGGAGACAAGTGACAATACTACGGGGAAAGAAAAATCGCAACCAACGAAGAAGATCCGCTGTTATAACTGCAGTGAATTCGGGCACATAGGTCGAGACTGTCGGCAGGCAAAACGTGAACCGGGTTCC